TGTGTGTTGCAGAAAATGGTCGCCATTTTGAACATCTTTTGGACTCCTCTATTCAATAAAAAATTTAGGCGTTTTTATTCATATTGAAAAAAAATTGAGTAGTGAACGAAAATAAATGAATTTTTTGTGATTACAAAAATTAATGAAAATGGGTATAACTTATGAAATATTTGTTTTTCGTATAGTACACCTCTGATACAAAATGTAGTGAAATGTTGAAACATTTTATACAAATGAAAAAAATACAGGGTGTTGCATCTATTTGAAAATGAATGAAACTTGACCGGTTTTATCGAGCACCCTATATATTGTTTTCAAAAGTTGAGATTCCTGAAATTTTATCATAGTGATGTTGACCAACTATTCCTAAAAAAAATCCACTTAATTGCTGTCGACATGCGGGTGGTGAATTGAAAAAATATTTTCTGCAAAATTCGCAAATTCCGCAATGGAAATCCGAAAACAGAAATTTCTTAGAAAGCTAAGAAAATATGGAATCGAATGACGTATTCATATACTGGGTGTTCCATCTAAAAATATAACTTTGGTTGGCTACGCTCGGCTGAATCACCCAGTATGCGAGAAAATAATTTTAAAAGATAGTGTTTATCGACATGACTGCGAAAAAAAATTGAGCATTTCGAAAAATTGTTTTCCCTGATAGCAATGGACCCAGAGAATCTTATTGACTCATCCTGTAGATACGAACCCTGAGAAAAAGTTATTCGCTTTCTCTATTCAAAACAAGCATAGACACCGAATGATTATTGGTGGGAACGACTTTATCTGAAAAAAATTCCGCAATGGAAATTCGAAAACAGAAATCTCTTAGAAAGCTAAGAAAATATGGAATCGAATGACGTACTCATATACTGGGTGTTCCATCTAAAAATATAACTTTGGTTGGCTACGCTCGGCTGAATCATCCTGTATGCGAGAAAATAATTTTAAAAGATAGTGTTTATCGATATGACTGCGAAAAAAAATTGAGCATTTCGAAAAATTGTTTTCCCTGATAACAATGGACCCAGAGAATCTTATTGACTCATCCTGTAGATACGAACCCTGAGGAAAAGTTATTCGCTTTCTCTACTCAAAACAAGCATAGACACGGAATGATTATTGGTGGGAACGAATTTATCTGAAAGGAGAAGGTCTAACTATTTTGCAGGTCAACAAATTGTTCTCAGTAAACATTGCTCTTGTTATCTTATAGGAAGAGTGAAATTCTTGCAAATCGGATATCCCAGATAAGGAACTCCTACCAAATTAATCATAGTTTTTCCATTAATAATTACGCCCTGTTTTTTTTTCATTTATATGAAATGTTTCAACATTTCACTACATTTTTTATCAGAGGTGTACTATTCGAAAAACAGATATTTCACAAATTATACCCAGTTTTATTGATTGTTGTAACCACAAAAAAATTCATTTATTTGCGTTCACTTACTCAAAATTTTTTCAATATGAACAATAACGCCTAAATTTTTTATTAAATAAAGGAGCCCAAAAGATGTTCAAAATGGCGACCATTTTCTGCAACACATAATGTAATTTTTTTTAACAAATTATCTACACGTTCCAGCATATCCTCTGGGATTTCCCTGGAAGCTCTAATGATTCTTCGTTTCATGTCTTCTATAGATGTTGGAGGTGTTTGGTAGACAATCCATTTGATATACCCCCATAAATAATCAATTTTGGTCAGATCAGGTGATCTGGGTGGCCACGCCACAGGCCCACCCTTACCTATCTATTTTTTATTGAAATGATCGTTGAGGTATTCCCGTACTTCAGTTTTAAAATGTGGTGGTGCACCGTCTTGTTGTAGCCACATTCTAAGTCTTGTTCCATATGGAACCTCGTCCAATAAATTCGAAAACTCATGCCGAAGAAATCTTACATATTTTCTTCCAATGAGATGCTCATCCAAAAAATACGGACCGATAACTCTTTTCCGAGAATTCCACCCCAAACATTCAGTGACCAACGCTGTTGATGGTTCAGGCAACGAACAAAATGGGGGTTTTCCGTTGCATAATAAAGCATGTTATGCCGATTCAAAGTTCCATTTTTATGAAAAGTTGGTTCATCAGAAAATAACATGAAATAGAAAAAATAATTTTCCTGATTGATCTTTTCTAAGCCCAATCGGCAAAATTGAACATGTTTTTCAAAATATCTTCCTCTTAAGCCTTGCATCAATTGCATGTAGTAAGGATGAAATTTGCTTGCTCGTATCATTCGAAACACGCTGGTTTGAGAAAATCATAATTCCCTGCTCAGGTTTCGGGTACTCACATGAGGATTTTCAACAAGGTGAAGAGCAATTTGAAATGTATTCTCTTCATTTGTTACAGGACAGACACGTTCGAACTTCTCGTGATTGACATTACCAGTTCTTTTAAATCTTGTTTTTAGAGCCTGAAATGCCCTTCCATCTGGATGTCTTTTTTCGGGGAACTTCTCTTTGTGAATCCTAGATGCAAGAAGACAGTTTCCGTCACTTTCCCCCATTTGCACCATAACTACCAATATATAATTCATAATGAAAATGATTCATTCTACACGCGAAAGTAACTTTAACAGGCGTTATTGACAAATTCCGGTCCAGTCATGGATAACTGGATTTTTAAAGAAAAAATCAGTATAAATATTCTTTAGGTTTTTTACGCATTTCGTACCGTTAAAACCACTGATAACTATCTGTCCCCACCTGTGTTCCTTGGTCGGATCAATTCGTCAAATGATCCTAAAGTAATAACGTTCGTTTTATCAGATAGTTGTACGCAATACTCATCCCAGTTTGCTTTGGCAAAAATCTACGTTTTCTATAATTTTAGTAATAAACATTCGCCTTTGTTTTGAGTGGTTATAAGTATTTTCACACCGGACCCTATCTTAGCCGAACAACTTTCAAGACAACATTATAACTGTGAAATAAACCCAGAATAGAATAAAAAAATCAAAACCTTTCTCAATTGTAGAATTACAAAAATGTTTGAAATTTAAAAAATCTACACCTGGTAGAAATGTATGTTTATCAACTTACGAATAGTATTGAAAAAACATATAGTTAACAATCTGCAACAAAATCCTACAGAGCGAAATCCTACAGAGTTCGTGGAAAGAGTTTTTATTATAACGACATAGACAATAACCGTCTATTGGCAATGGCATCATATGGACTGAAAATTCTAGAAAAATCAATAAAAAACAGACTATAATGGAAATTTGGACATCATCGAATATTTAACCGAAATGAAGTTGGTTTCGTAAGGAAATGGAAACGATGGATACTATTGCCTATTGGTGGTCTACGCTCAAATGGCATAAGGCATAAGGGGTTAAACAAAATAACAATAGCAGTTTTTTAGTATTATGAGAATATTAAAGTATGAGGTGCAGAATGATATAGCCAATGTAATATTTAGGATACTGCAGAACAGAGAAAATTATATAGTAGACAAAGAGGAGAATTCATTTCCACAAGAGGCATCACACAGGGTTCACCACTATTATTTGACATTTATATGATTTCATTATTTGCGTTGATACCTAATACGTCATAACTACTATCTTACGTGAACGAACTTGTTCTAATATGTAAGGGACAACACATTCAATTCACATAAAAATCAATTAATGAAATATCGATCAAGATTGATTTGTGGATCAAGGAAAATGCCTATAATTATCAACGTGTAAATGCGAAGTTATGTATTTCAAAAAAGGTAGACAAATGAAAGATAATCTAGGGATTGAAATAGGGGAACAAACCATACAAACAAAAAATAAGGTGGAATACCTTGCTACAATAAATTCAAGCGTGAATCCCAAAACGCTGGTGATAGCATTCAATGATCTAAGGGTCCATGTTATACAAATCTTGTTCCAAAAAAAAATCCGGCCAAATTGGATAAAACATATAATCAAGATTTTCGGGTTATCCTAGGATGACACATTCAGTATGTCAAACCCATACAGCCAATATATATAAAAATATCGTCATACCAGCTTTCAGCTATAACTACAACAAGTATATTCAGGAAATAGATGTAGTTAACATTAAGATAAAAAATACGCCCCATCAAGTAATAAGCAATTCTTAAGTAGCACAGAAAAATACCCAACAGAATATAACTTTATATGTACCGAAGCTTCAAAATCGGATAATAAAGTGGGAATAGGGATACACATGCCTCAAATAGATTTTACATTTTCAGTTCGGTTATACGATCAAATAAATATTTACGATGCAGAAATGATGTTAATCTATAAAGGGATGAAAACATGTATGTTATATGTTGTAAATATTGATTATATTACTACTAAACAAAAGAGAGTTAATAAATAGGGCAGTACGTAACAACATCATTTTCAAATTCGCTTGGATACCTGGACATAATAGTATTGTAGGCAAAAACAAGCGGATACGTTGGCAAAAATCGGTACTTCCCTAAATGTCCCACTAGATATGAAAATATATAAAAATAATTTCATTCCCTACCTGAAACAAAAATACTGAATAAGTTTTATGTAATTTCAAGTGACAACATGGTACTGGAAAGTTCCTTCAATGGATAGAAGACATATTATATACAAGTCTTAGACGCATGAAAACAGGTCACCCGGTCACCCCTCTAAACATGTCTACAGTCCTGAGAATGAGAAAATTAAGTGTTAGCATAAAACTTAAATGCAAATTCATGGAGAGTATACCCATAATGAATTATAACAGCATGAATTTGGTACACCCACACCTCATTCCATTTTTTTTCTTTTCAATCCTAGTATCTCATAACCTTTGTAAGTATTCTTTGTCTGGTGAATACATGCCAGTTAGTGAAGAAAGAACGCAGATACTCAAGCCAAAAGAGTTCCAATGACGCAACAAAGATTCAATTTACGCGCACTATCTATCAACAACATAAAGACGTTATGCTATAGGTGGAGACTGGTCTACAGCGCCGTAAGGGAAGCAATTACAAAAAAAGAGAAGAAGAGAGACTAGAAAAGACAAAAAGGTTAAGTAAATAAGTAGTTTTTTAATTGACTTACCGAAATACTGAATAATGTCCTCGCTTGTAAGAATAAATCGTTTATTTCCTCTCAGACATTTAATACCACATGCAACAAAGAATCCTATCAGGAATATTAGCAAAATAAATAATATCGAAGGTCTATCTTGGGGTAACAGTTTTGAGGTTAACTAGTCATAACTTTATTTTATTAGCTATTTACTTATAGGAAATCGAACGTTCTTGAGATTTCTTAGCACGGAAACGTCTCCAAGAGAAGAAGATTATCATTCTATAATAAAGGATACAGAAAAACCCATAGGTAGTATATGTGATTAGCCCCCGTTTATTCAATGGGCTTTTAAATTTTGAAATTTCCAGGAGAAAGTACCAAACATGAATTTCAAGCAGAGACTAGAATGCTTTTAGATATAGTAGCAAGATCTTTGTATTCTGAAAAAGAAGTTTTTATCAGAGAATTGATATCCAATGCAAGTGACGCATTAGAGAAATTCAGATATCTTTCTATATCAAAAGAAGGTGCTGAGAAAATAAAAGATGTCGATAGAGCACTTGAAATCCATATTTCAACAGACAAACATAATCGAACCTTGACCATACAGGTTAAACAGTTTGTTTTATTATGCACACTTTACTTATAACTCTTTCAAATATTGCTCGGATTGGGATTTTTTTAATGTATTCATTTCAGCGTACTTGAGAAGACCCCTATGTCAAAATATTTTTTCGGGCAGAAAATCAACTACCTGAATTGGATCTGTTATTAGTTAACTAGGTAACTTGCACTGACGAGTGACCAAGGAGCCCGAAACGGGTCTGCAAGTGTGCCTGTTCCAAATTTGAAAGTCGATTCTTTCAGTTTTATTGCCAATTGCATATGCAGAAAATCTTTTGTGAAGAAGTGGGGCCACTGAACACTCACAAAAACATTTGAGAGAATTTATAGCAGCATGTATCAATTTTAGCCACTTAGAATGAGTCGTTCACGAATTTGGTTAAAATTCTTTTTTCTAAAAATCAAAATCGGCAAATGAGAAAAGCCCTATTCAGTTTATTGAAATTATGTTCAGAAGCAGAGTCACCAGAAACTGAAAGTATTAAATTTGAATATTCATTATTTGAAACGCAATATGATGAGGAATCAGAAGTTCTGTATTTAAATAGTCCTTTTTATAAAAAAATTTTGTTAGATCAGTTAGATTGTGAAATAGGGGAAGCGAACTGGTATTATAACACTGAATTTCTGAATTTAATTTTGAAGAAATATTTGCCATTTCTTCCGTTATGGTCAGGAGTAATTTATAAAAATAATAATCCCGGGAGATTCAGCAATGCAAATGTTGAAAATTGGTTTTCACAAGTTAAAAATAATCTTTTCAACGGAAACTGCTACAATCAAAAGTAATAATCCCGGCAGATTCAGCAATGTAAATGTTGAAAATTGGTTTTCACAATTTGAAAATAATCTTTTCAACGGAAACTGATACAATCAAAAGTGCAGCAGCGTCATAAGAGTGTTACGAAAAAAAGTAATTTCACTCCACAAAGAGATAATGTTAAGTATTCTAAGAAACGCCTGCACTTCGAAAATGATAGTGAGAAAGAAGTCAACTAATACGCAGGTACCTGAACGTTTAAATGAGGAATATTCCCAGACAGAAACTTGGAAAACAAAAAAAAATTGAAAAGGATAACAACTTTTTAGGAACAAATTTGAAAAAAACGTCAAACGAAATCAAACAAAAAAAATCTGGAATAAATTCGAAGATATCTTTACAGTTGACAGGAACCGATGATGAGCTAACAGATGATGGGGACCAGAAAATCTATAGTAAAATATCTTTTGTATAAAAACACCCCACAAACAGAAGCCATATACCATGAAAATGAGTATGAGAGGGAAGCTGTTGTAGACTATGAAAAAGCAACAAATTCAAAGGTTACAAGTTAGGGCTAATAGTTCATTAAAAATATCCATACTTGGCCTGTTCTCCGGATGGCTTAAAATATATTAATGAAAATCGTGAATTGAAAAGAAACCACAATTATTTTTACCAAATACAAGGCCTGCTGAATATTACGGATAGAATGTGGTNATGGATTTTTCTTTGAAAATTATTTAATTCGGGGTGGGGGTTGATTTTCTGCCCCACAAAATATTTTGACATAGGGGTCTTCTCAAGTACGATGAAATTAATACATTTCAAGAATAAAATTCCCTTCGAAGAATTCATGGTTGGCCACGAATTTGGTTCGTATTTTGGGAGCTGATTATCGGATCTCCCGCTTCGCATCGACAAATCCATGGCTGGAACTCGTGGCTGCTTTCACACTGATTCCTGGTTCCAAAAATGATTTGTTTTCAAGTAATGAGAGGTTTTGGCTTTTCTGCTTCCCGAGAACTGTTATTGGATACTCTTCGTTGTTAATACTAATACTAAATTAAAGAGAACAAATTCTGAACTGATAGGTTGTGGTCGAATGAAGCCTGTAGTACCAAACGTTTCGACTGCTGGAACAGTAGACATCATCAGTGGTATGTGCATTGACTGCAAGGATAATTGTGACTCTGGCTCTGAAAGCCTATGTTCTTATGCTAATCCTAATATTTCAAAAAGTATATCAATAACAGGTATAGAAGAGGTTAATGTGTTTCTAGTTCCTCAGTTTTATTCAGACCATTACAGATACCAATAACCTTTGTTATTAATTGCCTGTTTGAGAAACTCGACAGTTCTCCTCCTGTTATAGTAAAAAATATCTTGTTTTGTATAAGAATTTATGGTACAACCGCTGTCACAGCTGGCTACTAATCAATCTGAATGTGTCGAGCCTGATGAATAACAAACCTTGCCAAGTGCTTGATAATACATATCAGACAATGGAAGTCCGAACTGATGAAATGCACCATGAAACATTGTCAACCACCTTCAAACAAAAATCTGCTAATCAAAACAAACAAAAAGTTCCACTATACAAAGGTGAAGCTATATATATTTGAATCAGCTTCCCACGGATCTGTTGGAAATTCAGACAAAACAGAAATGTGATGAAATCATAAAACTTATGAAATAAAATGAATGGAAATGAATCTACCAAAAATTATGACAAAGAGAAAGATGCATTCTAAATGATAACGAGGAGAAATAGACGATAAAAAGTTAGCAATTTTGAAGGAGGCAGCAAAATGTCTAGAAATGAAGGAACTGAAAAGAAAATACGGCGATTTATTTTAAAAGTATCTTATAACATAACAGATGATAACACAAAGAAAATACATAGATGACCAAACTCAATAGGGAGACAAATAAAACTACCAATTCAAACCATAATGGTTTGGTGGAATATACAACAATACTGAGAGGTGCTCTGAAAGTATCTCTAGCTTTCAGCAGTATCCCAGAAACAAACTTTTAGCTATAGAACACTTTATAACGCTCAATACTTCAATAAAATGTGAACATTGGTTGAGAACAAATTATATTCATTATCACAATTTTCCACACTTCATAGTAAGTTATTTTTGTAGTAATAAAAAATGGGGATTCACAATGGAATTAATGCTGTCAAGCTTATTGGCATTACGAAATATTCAACTGAAGTTTTGTTAAGTCTCAGAATGTGAAATATCTGATATAGTTTTTATAGACCTTTTTGGTTATTTTCTTCACCTTTCACAATCTGAAGAAAATATAAATTGTAATGGGGAACTTTATACAAGTGTAGATGTCTGATGTCCACCACAAAAAATGACTTTCCTTCACTGTCTAAGTATAATTTTAATTACAGTAATGGTTATGATAATGGTGTTCTGACCTTGAAAATCTAGATCACTTTGGATTATTAATGAACAAAATATAAAAATATCTTGAAATATTTACATAGTGGGCGATTTAAGAAAAAATGTTTTTCCGTTAACCCCTACGAACGAGAACCCTCAAAAATCGAAACTTCTGCGAGCTAAGGATTAACGGGGTCTTACCTTGGAACGTGCAATTCCTAGCACGGATTGGGTGGTAGTCAGTGAAAATCAATCGTCCGGCCTCGCGGTTCGAACCACCGTTTCACCTGACGGTCGATTGAATGAATGGAACAAATGGAAGTCACGCAACCCAACTGGCTACTGTCCCAATGTACATTCAAATGACATAAATGATCCAAATACTCAAAAGATAACGCAATTATTCACGTCATTTGACCTACGTCAAATGATTAATTAAAAAAAAACATAATAGAATAACTGCCTTGATAAAATAGTTGGTAATAATAACAAAATGGAAGTATACACAGAGCCTCTCGGACTATCCGATCAACCTTTAGTTTATAGCTGAGCTAGGAGTTAAGGATTTCAGTAACGACCGTAACAGTAAATTCATAAGAAAGTACACATCAAATAGTATTCAAACACTAAAGTTTTATTTGGTAAAAGAAGATTGGTCTGATGTATAGGTACACAAGAAACGACGCGATAATAATTCAAATTATTCAATATTATCTTTCCACTTCAAAAAAATTCAGTTGTATTTTATTCAATATTATATTTCCACTTTTCAGAGTAAGCAATGCAATAAAAGGAGCTTCAAAATAATAATAATATTTATTTCTCTCGTTAAACAATATGACGTTTCTTTTACAAAATAGTACCCAGTAACAAGAAAGACGTCAAACATTACTCATAGTCTAACATATAATACAAAAGGCAAAACAACACTTGAATAATAAATAACTTACCTTATACTGAAGAATTATTGATCTGCAAAAAATTTCTCGATGGTGTATCAGTTTTTTTTGGATGAGGTGGGTTTTCAATTTGTCTTCATAATCAAAATATTAGGCGACTCTCATTACAATGTCCAACTTATTGAATAATTCAGGTCTTAGATAAAGATGCATTTTTTTTAATAATGCGATTGGATGGGCGGCACTTTTCAACAAGTTTTTCGAACTAGTTGAGTAGGCATGGTTTTGTCAGTTTATACACATAAATACACAATTCTCAATTTCTTAAAGGCAACTTCACATGACTGTTGCCGTTTTAGATCATCGATGATTCATTCTGATGGAATATTTCTGGAGCATGAAAATCCTTTGTGCAGAAGATTCTGTACCCTAGTTTAGAATTCCGCATCGTGTTGATTGTTGCATAGTACAGACTTCCTTACTGCAGTGATTTTGCATAAATCTTAGCGTATAACAAATTTTTTCAACTTCTCACAAGTAGGTCGATATGTGAGTTTGTGGTCTGAAGTGAGACCAAGCATTTTTGTTGTTGGACAAAATCTAACCTCCAGATCATTATATTCAAATATACTGAGTGTCATTCATATGATGTAGAATATTTCATCAGTACTGTTTTGTTGACATTGAGTGACAGATGATTTTTAGTAGCCCATGTAATGATTCTCTTGAAAACCGTTTCAGTTATATCTGCAAGTTCTATTGGGTTGTTTGCTTCGATGAGAAAATTAGTGTCATCCGTATATGCAATTACGTGTACCATTGTAAGATCATGGAGTTTTACGATTCCATCTGGTATCATTTTGATTCCTCCACAAGCCTCAAAAGTGCAATAAAATACTTTCTAGGAAGAATATTCACGTCTGATCCTGTGTTGATTTCGAAATTGACTTCAGTTTCACCAATCCTCACGCTCTTGTTCCACGGCATTCATTCCCTGATTTCCCCAACTCTAACTATACTTTCAAGGTTAAGTGGTAGAACAAACCTATAGTGTTTTACATTGCAGTTTTGAACTTCCCCTCTTGGTTGTTATATTCTTTTCAACCCAATAAAGACCATTATTATTATAATTGGTATCAATGTCTCAAAATAATTGTCGTCGTTACTTTCTGTTATTTCTTTCACGTTTTTTACTCTGCACACTGAGCTGAATTTGTTTTTCCTTGGCACTTATGACAAAAATTTTTCGTATGCAGGACACTTTCCTTTTACATAATGATTGTAATTACACCTTGTACATTGATTATTATTACATTGTTTTTTCTAGTCGTCTTTCCTTTGCATTTGTGTACCAGAATTATTTTCCTAACCGCTCAAACACAATTAATTTTATTTTGTAATATCTCCACCTGTTTTCTTGTAATTTCTACAGAACGATAAGTTCCTTCTACTATTTTCAGTGATATATTGGATGTATTCAATACCTTCTCCTGTAGAGCTGTGTCTCTAATACCAAGAAGTATTCTTTCAATGATTATATTGATTTTTCTTGATCCCCTATAGTCGCAAAACTTTATTAATTTTTTTAAATCAGTCAAGAAATGATAGAACAGTTCATCTTCTTCTTGGAATCCGTTATTGAATATAAACCTTTAATAGGTTTTACTCTTAATTGAATAGAACTGGTCGATACTTGATGAAAATCCATATTAAACAACTAATCAATACAGTTTCACTTATAGTGAAAATCATACAAATAAACTGTATTGATTAGTTGGTTTTACTCTTCTTCGGATTACAGTATTGTTCAAATTCTTTCACAACTTTGTTAAATTTTTCTATTTTGCTCGTTTTCTGGGAACCGTCTGACTTGTCCATTTCTTCCAAGTCACATGAAAACACTGCAGTCTCATGGGCTTATTACAGTTTCCCGTATTTTCTTATTGATAAACCCACTTCACTAATATGTCTGTCAATTAATCTTTCTGTTTTCATGGAAATAATATGAGACTGATTGGTCTCAAGTTCTGTTCAATATTCCTAGGTTTTGGTATGAAGGTAATCCTAATCACTCCATGTTTTGGATATGTATTCCAGAGACAGACTTCCTCTGAGGATTACACACAGTTTTGAAATTGAGTTACAGGACCTTTTCGTAGCATTGCTAGATAAGTATCATCTGTTTCTGGCGACCTATATGGTTACACTCCATTTGATCTTCTCCAAATCTATCAGTTTCGTTGCCATCAGCCAATTTTTTCTAGACATCTTTATGGGGTTTCAAGTTCTGTAGAGCCTGTCACATATTTGGGTTTGTTCAACCTCCTCGCATCAACTCCTTCATGAGTCTCTCTTGGATTTCCTCAGGTCTATATTATATGCAGTTAGGTTAGGTTAGGTTAGGTTAGGTTCCCTTACGTTTTTAAATGCTTCTCTTTATTGGCGCTCATACTTGCCAAATCTTTATTCTACCAAGGGTCATTTCTGTTACTTCTCTGGTTAACTATGGAACAATGTTAGTTATGTGCTCCCTGTAATCTGTCTGCTTGTGAACTCTATGTCTGTTGAGTCCCTCATTTCAAAACCCATTTGGACTAGACTACTTTCCAGATCTGCCTTGTAGGTTTCCCAGTTTTCTTCTCCGATTTTAAAGTTCATGTACCGGTGATATCTGAAAGACTTTCCTCATCAGACACATTTCATTTTCGAAAAGAATTGCCTATAAATGTAGTACCAATTGTTACGTCAATTACTTTCCTACGTTTCGTGTTTTTCACATGTTGGTACTTGCCCAGGTAAAGTGGCGTGCATTGATTTCCTCAGGTCCTTCCTCGCTACCCGTCTTCAATTTAACTAGCGTCAAGTCCATGGAGCAAAACTTACTCAACAGCAGTATGTTTATTTTTTTTTTTTAAAGGAAAATTGTGCATTATCTTGGGGTCTGAGATTCTGTTATAAATTAACTTCCTTCTGATTCCCTCTAATTCCATGATTGGTTAACAGGAAATTCTATTTAACACATCTTCAAAAGTATTTCTTACCTTGTTTATCTTTTGAAGTTACGAGCTGAATTTAAAAAAAATCTAGAGAAGGCAGAAGTAACTTAATTGTTCAGTATTTTTAAGAGACAGAGTTAATATTTTTGTTGAAAAAGATAACATCATAATCAGCATTTTTTGCTTAACGAATCCCTGCCAGCCATGGGTATTTTCTTGTAGAGGCATTCTTTGAGAGGAAATAACCTTAATATCTGAAAGGAATTCCAAAAATATTACGTTACCAAGCTATAAAATGAAGAAAACTATCTCCTAGGATTTTATTTTGCGCACATGAACTGTCCTTGTTACTTCATTCACGTTTGTTTCTCCTACACTTCACCAATTGAAGAAATTATTGGATTTCGAAAATATGTAGATAGTGGAACAAGCCTCAAGAAACAGATTTTTCATTTCAACTTGAAGAAAATAAATTCATTTCTATTTCACCATTCAATCATGAACTAAGTTCAGTTCAGTAAATAAGTTCAGTTTTTATATCAAAAGTAATCTTTTTCCGGATATTTATGTCCTGCTTATTTTTCATTCTTCTTACAATCAGGATGTTATGATAAATTCAAATCAAGTAACAAACTTTTTTATATTCAGTATGAAAATCCTTAAGCAAGCTATTGTATAGTGAAACACGTGTTGCAGTTTTATGAACTGTCCAGTGAAAATATCACAATAAAGTGTTACTTGAATACGTTATTGATATTGGATTTTCATCAAGTATCGGCCAATTCCATCGCATAAGAATTTAAATCACTAGATTCCCATTTAAACTTAATGACTAACTGATTATTATCGCATGGTTATAAGTGAAGCTAAGAAAACTTCTAAAACTGTGAGCCTTAATACGATACTTGCGAAATGAAACCTAAAAAGGCAGAAAAGAATAATAATAATTTGTGCGCCTGCAATGCCACAAATGTACTAGATTTTCTACCAACTGTATCCTAATGGATAGATGATTCATTTGTTTTTAATAATTCCTCTTTCAAACTCAAAAAGTAAGTTGGTTCGAAAATATAATAAAAAATGGTTCTACTTTACAACATGCGATCATCATCAAACAATAAATTCAATAAGCCACTTGAATTGAGTAGCTTGTGATTTTAAGAAGCTCTATTTATAATATGTCTGACATTTTGTTATTTAAATTCAGATAAACCAAAACATGATAAATTCTTTTTTAGGCATTCATTGAAGAAATGAAATCAAAACAAACAAATGGTGACAACAACATAATAGGCCAGTTTGGAGTAGGCTTTTATAGTGTTTTTATGGTCGCAGATAAAGTTGAAGTTTATTCCAGAGCAGCAGGAGAAGATCGGGGTTTCAAATGGACATCGGATGGGTAAATAACCACTTCATATTGAAGTTAAACTTCGTAAAGTTTGTACTTTCCCACTCATATCACTTTCAGAACTGGTACTTATGAAATTCAACCAGCAGAAGGTGTTTTATTTGGTACAAAAATAGTTATACACTTAAAAACGGACTGTCGAGAGTTTGCTGATGATGACACAATCAAGAGTATCATAAATAAATACAGTAATTTTGTTGGAAGCCCTCTATATCTGAATGGGAAAAAAGCTAACATTGTTCAACCCTTATGGTTATCAGATCCCAAAAGCATAACACCACAACAACACAACGATTTTTATAGATTCGTCAGTAAGAGTTACGATATGCCAAGGTTTACTTTACATTATAAGACTGATGTACCTTTGTCGATTAGAGCTTTGTTATATTTTCCTGAAGGAAAACCAGGTTTGTAATTTACGGACTCATTTCTTGTAAATAATTATTGAATTGTAATTTTTATATAAATAACAATGTATATTTTTAGGACTGTTTGAAATGTCCCAGGAAAACCAATCAGGTGTTGCACTTTATACAAAAAAAATTCTGATAAAAAATAGAGCTGATAATATTTTACCAAAGTGGTTGCGATTCGTTAAAGGAGTTATTGATTCTGAAGACATTCCATTGAATTTAAGTCGAGAACTGTTGCAGAACAGTGCTCTCATAAAGTAAGTAAATCAAAACTGTTATAGAACAAGGAAAATTTTATTTTAAAAAAACAGTACAAAATATACTCTCATCTTATAACTAAATTGAGAGCTATGGAATGCTAACATAATATTCTCTATTCAAGGAAATTACGTGATGTTTTAACTGCAAAAATAATTAAATTTCTGCAAGACCAATTGAAGAAAAATCAAGCAGAATACGAAAAGTTTTACCAGGACTATGGAATTTTCATTAAGGAAGGAATCATCACAAACTATGATCAAGCCGCAAAGGTGAGTTTAACTGTATTTCAATCAAACACTTCACTACTTGACCGTTGCTCATTATCGTTATTGCTTGAAAAATCAATTTCTAACATATCATCAGAATCGTCTGCAGGTAACTCCTCTTCACTGCCTTCTTCATTATCTTCAGTAATTGTGGTACTCTGGGACAAAATATCATGACCTTCTAAGTCTCTATTTCTCAAGTTACCCATCCAGAATGCTGTTGAGCAATTGTTGGCTGCCAAAGTAGCTTTGACCCTATTAACAAATTTTTGAGAAATTTTAAATACTTAGAAGTCAAAATCTCGCCGTATCAAAATACTTCTAGTTTTCAAAAAAAACATTTGATTCACCTGTAAACTAGCGATTCCAGAGTTAACCGAAATTGTGGAACATATGCCATCAAACTGGAATCTTTAGTAAACTTCGTATAACAGCACAAATGATGCAAAAATCTTGTACTCAACTGCAATGACTTAAAAATGGACACAACATCATCGGGTTTTGAACGCAGTGTTATTTCCATTATCGGAATCCCATGTGATAAAAATAATTTGAGGATACCGATGGATTTCTTTAAGAAACATGCCAAATTGGTTTTAGTTTCTTGGGCTTTTGCAATAGTCATCAAACCTTGCATGGTTAAAGCTGCATTCCTCCATAAGGTTAGATGCTGATAATTGGTTAAGGATTGAACTTCACTCTTTATCCTGTGAACAAAAAAAGAGTTTCAATCGCCTATGTGATATATTTTGAGATGAAGCTTAAAAAACATGTGACTTCGATCAGAGTACACTTTTATGTGCTTAAAATGACATCTCAAAATAAATTCATTCTTAGATATTATTGTATTTTTTAAAATTCAAATAGAAAACTTTCATTGCAAACTATGCAATTTATATACATGAAATGAACAACTTGAAAAAAATTACATAGTAAAAAAATTCTATTTCGTGATAACTTTGGAATATATTAATGTGAAACGTGGTATGTATATTCTATGCATTAACATTAAAAGGTATTGTCTGCTTGTCAAAAGTGAAAAATTATGTTGTACAGTCTATCCAAAAGTAATCTCAAATAACAAGTTATTCCTATGCTCACCAATATCAAAATCCTGGTTTCACACACCCCTAGTCTAGTACTCTAGTGTAGTCACTAGAGTATTAACAAATATCTGTTAAAACTGACCCTGATATATTGTGAAGAACAGGAAGTTACTTATTATGAGAGCATACTATCCCTTCAACCTTTCATTTAATTGTAATATAGTGCCGACTCGACTGAGAGACCAGGTGTGTCTACTAGGAGGTTATTACCTCAAAAAAAGTAATAGTTAAAACAAACTGAAAAAACAAGCTTTAATAGAAACACAAAATGAAAATAATTCGAAAAAATTAATTTTGTTGTAAAAAATCGTGGGATCCTTTGAATTATATTTTCATTATGGCTCCAATCTGGCAAACAGCTCCTAACCGAGTATTCATAACAATGGATATTTAACATCCCACGCTCACAGATTCTTGACGAGTGTACAAAGAAACGCTAACCTACATCTGTCCGTTTAAAGTTAGTCAAAATCAAGTCCAAAGGAGCCGTTTACAAATAAACAAACATACAAGTGAAGCTAATAAAAGCGTGTTAAAAACATTTTCACAATTTGATTGACGGATTTTTGTAGTCCTGTCAGGAACATATATATATATATATATAATTTTCATTAGTGTTTTTGTAGTCCTGTCAGGAACTGGGACAATATGTATGATAGATTATGATATGTATAACAGAGTATGATGAATTAATTTTCGGGTTTCAATCCGTGTTCTGTGTTTTTGGTCCCCAATTTGTTTTACGACGTTTCGGCAAAATCTCAATTGCCATCTTCTGGTGATATTAAGGTGTTCTGAACTAGCCTGACATTGCTCGAATCCATTTCCTACTATATAGGTATAGAATAGAATAGAATAGAATAGAAGTTTATTCATCACTAAAGTTCACATGTACAACATAAAAAAAGTGTAAATACATGAAACTTGTTGGACTAGATGTTAATGCTTACCTGTTTACCTCAGTGATTCGGTTTTTATCTCCTCAGTCGTCGCAAAACGCCGTTCTCTCATGGATATCTTGAATCTTTGGAACAGGAAGAAGTCGTGGGGGCCAAATCTAGGGAATACAGTGGTTGAGACATGATTACGGTGTTGTTTTTGGCCAAGAAATTACGAACTAGCAATGACGAGTGATCAGGTGCATTATCATGATGCAAACGCCATGGATTGTGTTTTCACAATCTTCTCAGTCATTCAACCTATATACTGCTGATTATAGTATTGCAGGAAAGAAGTTGGAATGTGTACAATCTATACGAGATCTATTAAAATACTATACTTTACATTGGTAAAATCAGTGATTGAGTATTGCACTTGTATCTGGTCTCCAGATAACTTCAACCATGGTCATAATATTGAGAAAGTTCGGAACAAATTTATTTCTTAGGCATGTTGCCTTCAAAATGAATATGCCATCTAAAATTCATTCGCTCTCTGAAATTCGCTCTACTATTGGCTTGCTCAAACTCAGTCCAAGACGGGCACATGCAAATATATTATTTCTCTATAAATTGTTGAACAACGTAATTAATTGCCCAACTCTTCTCTGTCAAGTCAATCTGCATGTTCCCCGAAGACATGTAACAACCAAACTTCAGTCTCGACTTTCATAGGTGTAATTATGGAAAACATTCTCCTTTGTCTAGAATTTTATCAAATATAATGAGACCAAAATTGCTTTGTTTCACATCTCTCAGAGTACTCTTAGACATACTCTACGTGGTATAGAGTTATAAGACAATTTTTAATCAAAATTCTTTGACCCATTTTTTCCAACAGCAGAAAATTGCCGAACACGCAAAACACTTCTAACATTTATGTCTCTCACCAACAACCTGAGCATGCTCAACAGCTCAAACTATGAACATATATATGTTCAAGACGAGTGTACCAATATAAAAACACTTAAAAAATCGCTTATCTTATTTTTTAACAGAACTAGTATGTATATATGCCAGACTGAGTCATGGCCGCTGAGAAGCCCCTCCATCAAGATGTGCAGTAGATGTGTAGAAATCTGTTAAACGTTTGTTGGATTATTCGAGCCATATACGTAAAATTGCAAACAAGTGTTTCTATTCTTTTTTTCCTAATACTTTCTTTGTCATACACCGACCCAAACTTTACGCAGATACGATTTCTCCCACCGGCCATGACTCAGTCCGGTAGCTGTCCGTAATCATTAATCAGCCACCGTATTCTCCAGATTTGATCCACACGACTTTTTCCTGTTCCCAAGATTGAAGATACCCATGAGAGGACGGCGTTTTGCGACGATTGAGGAGATAAAAATCGAATCGCTGAGGTAAACATAAACATCTATACCTATATAGTAGGAAATGGGTTCCAGCAAGATCAAGCTAGTTCAGAACACCTAAATATCACCAGTAGATGGCAAATGAGAATTTGCCGAAACGTCGTGAAAACAATCACAGTGAGGACCAAAATGACACAACACGGATTGAAACCCAAAAAACAATTCATCATACTCTGTCCGTCATCATACATACGGTCCCAGTCCTGACAGGACTACAAAAACACTAATAAAAATTATAAAAAAATTATTGGTCCCGGAACCATCATCATATTCAATTGTTGTTAAACAAACACACAAAATTTGTACTTCCACAAAATGAGATAAGCTTGTATCAATTTTGATAAGTAACTAGAGAGACGCCGCTTAGCGTTTTATAATTTAGATATTGTACAGTATATATTGTTGAATTTTTCGTGTGGGTTTGCCAGTAATTGACTACGCTGTACAATTAAAACTAACTATTTCACTACTACACTGACAATACAACCAAACACTAACTGAAACTTGAAACTAACATGCAATCGTCTATCGCCTTATTAGATCGATCACTTCGTATCGCACTGTCAACTAGACTTTTCGATATGCATGTTGGTAGTGTTTATATATGCCAATGGAAGTTTTAGGAAGCCGATAGAATTATTCTTGAAGCGACGCAACACCTAGAACGATATAGAAACACAAGTAGAGTTGAGCGCGATCTTGGCTGAGGCACAACGATTGACGACGACCAGCGGCGGCCGGCGTTATTTTTTTCATGGGATGATTTACGACAATATACAGTGTCACCATTAAAATGCGCACCTTATGGGAAATTTTTTTTTCGAAAAGTTTCAATGGAGTTTAACTTCGGCACTTGTTTGTGCTTTAAATTCAACCTAAAATGATGCGGCCAACTGCGACCCACTGACGTTCAGTGTTTATCAAATTCAACTTTTTTTTGAAAAAAAATTGAAAAAGTGCATTTCTAGATCGAATTTAACAAAAAGTTACTTGAAAAAGTTATGTCTACGGCAATTTTGTATCCATATGCCAAATTGTATGCAACTAGGATAAAGTTAACGTTTTACTTATTTTTGACAGATATACCCTTTATTTTAAAAAACAAGTTCGGTTGATTGTCATCAATTCATGTATACATAACAAACTCATCATGGAGTTTAACTTTTCTGATAAATTTTTACTTAGACGGACATTTTTAGAGAGAAATTAAAAATGTGCTATAAAAATTTTAACATGACTGGTGCAAAGTTTCAATCACTTGGCTATTTTCTTAAACAAACGTCAGTACCTTCAATTTTGAAAAAGCAGACACAACTCAAAAACTGCAATAAGTATTAATAAAATTACTAGAGTTGAAATTACATTAAAATTTCAATATTCAGTATTTACAGATTATTTATAAACACTAACTAGAGCGGTAAGGATGCTTAATCACGTTGAATAAAATTTTTAGGTAGGTCTTGACAAACAAAATGCATGCTATGGTAGTGTCAAGTTGTTGATTTACTTGTCAAATTTTCAACAGTTATTGTTGCAATAATGTTGTCTCGTCAGGAAAGAATAGAAATAGTTTCAATATGTGGTGAGAATACACCATACCGGCATCATGAACGGCATCATGAACGGCACCGTGAACGGCATCCAGTAGAAAATGTTCAACATACTACTTTGTCAAGGATAATGTCGAAATTCAGAGAAACAGGATCCGTAGCAAATCAATTTAAGAAAAAGCACACTCCAAGTAAAAGTTATTGAACACGGGCAACTCCATGATGAGTTTGTTATGTATACATGAATTGATGACAATTAACCAAACTTGTTTTTTAAAATAAAGGGGATATCTGTCAAAAATGAGCATAACGTTAACTTTATCCTAGTTGCATAAAATTTGGCATATGGATATAAAATTGCCGTAGACACAACTTTTTCAAGTAACTTTTTGTTAAGTTCGATCTAGAAATGCACTCTTTCAATTTTTTTCAAAAAAAAGTTGAATTTGACAAACACTGAACGTCAGTGGGTCGCAGTTGGCCGCATCATTTTAAGTTAAATTTAAATCACAAACATGTAAATTGAACTTCATTGAAACTTTTTGAAAAACAAGTTTCCCATTTGGTGCGCACTTTAATGGTGACACTGTATATAAGTTACGGACATCAAGAAGAAATTTCTCAATATAAATTAATGGATTTTTCATTGATAAAATCAAAATTCATTCTCTCATTATTAGTCGAATGATTCATTTTCTAGTGCAAAAATATCATTCACTCCATTGGATGAAAAGGTAGAATATTTTCTATCTTCATGGTTTCTTAGACCGAGTTAATTTTACATTTTCAATCATATTTTCTCCAGCTATTCAATTTCCTTTCAGTTCACTTCAGCGGGTTTATCAGTGTGTTTTATCCTGATAGGACAATAAATAAATGAGACCCTTACCTCCAGATTACTAGAATGTTGGAACCCAGTCCAACTGAATATTAAATAAAAGGACTCCAAAATCAAACCAAAACAATTCTTGATAACGAGAGCATCTGGAGAGAACATTTCCGGCAAATCTAATCTGCCATCATTGTCTTCTAATAATTTGTTTATTTTTTCTGTAAGAACCTGCAACATCATTAAATGAATGGCAACAGTTTGAACAAAAATATATCGTTACCTCTAGGTGGGAATCCAAGTTCGGCAATATGTGTGCTGCAGAATCTTTTATGAGGTGTAGAGGAACAACTTCATTCAAATGGGATAATCCAATGTTTTTATTTTGTGTTGCAATAGACAGTTTGGAAACTAAATCCTTCAGTAGAAATTCAAGCTGCTGAATATTCAAAGATGCTGTTTGCGTCAGCTGGGTGCAGTCGTCCTCGGGAAATTTCAAAGGGTACTTCAAATGATGATCATCAGTTATTTAAAACACAAAATACATTCAAACGAAGCTGCTTAGATTGATTTATTTTATCAGTATTAGCAATTTTTTGTATTTTTTGGATCAGAAAATATATGCTCTTCAAATTGATCAGTTAAATCTTTAAACCTTACTTATACAAGTTTGGTCTTTTGGACACATTGTTTTATGAAATTATTCATACAGTATCATCTATTATTATATGCAAAAAAAAGTGAATTCATATTTTTTAGATCGGATGTTCAATCAATATTCTGAGTGAACAAATTATTGGCTCAATTAGTTTTTAATTTGTGAACCTCTGCTAAAAACCTGTCAGATATCATTTGTATATCCTGAATATCCGTAATAAAATATATATTTCAGCAGGCATTTTCCAAATCCTACCGTGAAAGAAAGCTGGGTGAGATAAATATTACAAATTTTTTTGGTGTATCTATCTCTTAACAGTTAGTCTGCTTCAATTTATTTAAAATAAAAATTGTCATATTTTTTATTTATGAAGTACCTTTCTAAAAATGAACTTTCAGATATTCACGTGAATGTTATAATTTGTGCACATCCCGAACATTAATGCTTTTAATTTCTGAAGTAAAATTTGGAATCAATTGAAAATTTCTCATAAAAAACTAAGATCTCACCTTAAATAACAGTACTGTGTCGGTATCTAAATCTCTGAAGTTCAATTTTTGTCCTCCACTAAGCATTTTCATCAGGGTTTTCTTTTTTTTTACTTGAGAAAAAGCAACAGTATTTGCACTCTCATCTGGATCATCCACAACTGGTGCTGACTTCATTTTCTTTTTTGGATTTTTGGATTTACTTTCACTTTTTGTTATCTTCTGTTTATTAGTATAAATACCAGAATCTGAGTCAAAGTAGCTCATTGGTAGTTTATGATCAGGAACTTTCTCCAAGCAATGCTCAAGTTTCTTTTCAATTTCAAGTAAATGCTGAAAGCAAAAGTTTTCATTTCAACCCTAACACAAATAGAAACTTACCTCCAATCTAGCCACAACTTTTACCCTCAATGATCTCTTGTGTTGGGTCACAAACCCACTAATTATTTCTCTGAACCAATTGGCACAGTGAAACAGACAATCGGCTACATTTTTCACCTGATCCGACTCCAAGTCATCAATGTCTTCCACCTTGGGTAAAGCCACTGCGCAACCAAGCAGAGCATTAACTGTTGCAAGGTTTCCATCCTGTAGTCTATAGTGAAGAAGCCTGAGCAATCGAAAATGAGGTGCCAGGAGCAAAATGGAAGAGTTCTTCGTTAAAGTTAATTCTGCTATGTTTATTCCCATTTCAGGCGAATCTGTCTCTTCAGGACTGAAAATGCTTTAATATTAGTTTGATATCATCAACATTACTTCAACAAAATCATTAAGAAATGGTTTTTAGATAAGAGCACTTAGGTTACGTAGTTTTTCAACTCGTTCAATAATCAGCTTTTGTTTGCGAAATTGCATTTGAATTTGATTTTACAGTAACGCTAAATTTTCTATGATATATTTGAGGAAAATGAACATTTTCCAAAAGCTTGAAACACATGTCTATGGTTTGCCACTTTCTTGAGTGCTATGTCCTATTATTAAATTATGTATCTATATCAAGACACTCAATAACCTTCATATTTGTATTATTTCCTGAACTCGCAGGTCTATAGCTGCCTCGGTGGTGATTTTGATAGTTTTCTTGTAAACACAAGATCTATTAACTGAAACCACAAATATTCGGCTGGCTTCTGCTTGTGGCTCCGTGCATTTGTATTTTTTTTTTTTGGTAACAAGTGTTACCCATCCTTACACTTAGCTGTACCAAACTGATGGTCCAAAAGCCCGAAACACGTGTCTATGGTTTGCCACTTTCTTGAGTAATTCGCAACGTTTTCATTATATAGTTATATTAGAATAAAATTATAAGCTAGAATACAAGGTCATCCCTATTTAATGTTTTATCGATAAACCCAATATTAGCTTGTTAATTTTAATAGTCTAATCGCAAATAAATTAGGTTTGTTGGATTCATCAAAATCTTTTTTTCGTAAAGTGCTTTTCAAAAAATGGGGGCTATTTGAAAAATAACAGACAAGAAAATATAATTTTGACAACTTGTCTTATTCCTATCTATCATACTAAGCGCCAAGCAACTTTGTGATTGTGATTTTTTGGCATCACCTGAAATCCTTAGATTAGTTCATGTCTGATCATGGCCATGTAAATGCAATATTAAAAGAGACTCATAAGAAATGCTACATACAGGGTATTCCACTCAAAAATTCAAAACCGGAGCCACTTCCTGTAAAACTAGAATGACTGGAAAGAAAAATGTGTGAAATATCTCCTCTTCACATACCATTCACTAATACCTGATAAACCTTGTCTTATAGACTTGTTGACACCCGGTACAGTAACTTCCCTGAGCTACTTAAAGAGTAACAAGATCTGCCAGGTCAATCATGTAACTTAGCAGAAACAAGCCTCAATCAACAAGATTAATTTAATTCTCTTGAGAAAAATACCTGGCTGGTGGTGGATTTGAACTTGAAGGTGTAGAGCAGGGTGCATATCATTTAGAACAATTAATTACTTACCTCCCAGCCTTGTTTTTGAACTTACATTAATGTTAATCACAATAATCAAATTCCACTTATTGTTCATTTTGATCCTATTTAATTTTTTATTTCCATTTCACTTAAAATGTTCTAAGGTCACTGAAATATTTTGAGCCTGTAATTTTCTAATTTCTTCACCTTCAAGTGTCATATCTGTCAATATTTCAATACAATGGAAGTCTATACCTTTAACATTTTATCTGAAATATATTACCTGTTGAGTGAAAATTGTAACTCAAGTTCCAAATTGCTTTCCTTCATAACTGTTTTTGATATTCCACCAATGTATTTAAACGTAAAATCAGCGGTAATATTTTCAAATAACCAAGCCATGAAAGCCTGGTCTAAATGATGATTGGCTATTAGCATTGAAGCTAGTTGATCATAGTAAAGACCCATAAGTTCGGCACAGCCTGAAGTGCACATAGTGGCAAGATCCAGAAGAGATCCAGCCTCTCTGGCTGATCCTCGTGGCAAATCCGATATACTTTTTATAGAATCCTTAGGTAACAGGGGTGGTTCATAATCTTTTGTAGTTCGAACAATGTTTTGAGCCATTACTACAGCAGAGACAATTCCTCTGAAAAAAAAACAATAAAAACTTCAATTCTGCCAACCCACACGTTTTTATTCACCTGTGTTTTATAGCTTTCTTGGTGCTATACAATTGTTTTCTGATAACCATATGAATCTCATTTCCCAAACCAGACACAGATTCATCAACATCAGGTCCACAGGTCAAGCAGCACAATATTTCAAATATCATTTTTACGTCTTTCAGTTCCAAAGAGTCCAATCTTTCTAGCAGTCTCATTAATAGAATAACATGTTGCTGCAATTTTTCCTTTTTCTCCAAGAGTGAAAATATGATTTTCAAAACCGTACTGACTGTTTTTTTGTCATTAGAACCAGTGAGAACTATCAAGCTATCGAGAATTTCTCTTCGGTAGACTGTTTCGGTGTAGTAATGATCAAACAGGATTTGAAATAGTGTAGAAGAAAATTCCGCGATCATTTGGTTATTTGAGGCTCGAACTAAACTGCAACCTAGCAAATAATTCACAGTTTACTAATATTTCCAATTTATGAATTGTACATGCATAAATACTTCCGCCTACTACCTGACACATTTTAACTTACCTATTTCTACTATAGATGTGAAATAGTCTTTTAAAAGCTGATGTGACATATACTTTTCAAACATTTTCTCCAGTTGACTGATCTTAAAGAGTCCACTCTGCACACGTTTTCGGAAAATGGCCTCAATTATTCTCTTCTTAGCAGATGATGTGGTATGAAGCATAAAAAGTAGCAGAAAATCGATAGGTTTATGATCTGAATGGGATTTGATGCTAGAAATCATATTCAACCAAGCATCAGTTATAGTTTTTGATGACAGAGTGTATGCTTGAAGTTTATTGAAAATGAGAATTTTGCAGGTATCTCTTTCTTTGGTTCTGTCCGTAGACAACATAGTTGTGTCAAGTGCACTACGTATTTTGAGAAGTGTTTGAATACAGTTTTGTGATTTGTGGTCGGTCAAGAGAAACTGAAAAAGATTTACTTGTTGAATAATAATTGAGTTAATGTTAATAACTAATTTTCATTTGTACCAGTTGACAGTGTTTAGATCTTGAAAACGATCAACACAGTAAACGGAATCACGAAATAATGAATTGTTGAAATAATTGATATGAGGTTGTATTAGTGATAAAAAAGGTTCAATTCTTTATTGATATGTTAAATATTTCAATAAAATAATAATGCAAGTTGAATATTGATTCATCAAATGTTTATAGCCTCTAATCAATCTTAAAATATTTTCAGTAACACTTTCACTTACTGATAGAAGTATAGGAAATATCTTCAGAGAAGTCCCACTAGCAATTTTTGCCAAAACTCTATCTTGTATTTCTGCTCTCATTTCAGAATCTAAATCTAATACATTCAAACAGTCAACAATAGCCCCTGTTAACTCATCTTTATCATCCATAAGTTTGCTAAGTTGTTGAGCCGTTTCTGAATTCTGGCTATCAGGAATGATGTCGGGAATTGAATCTAGTATTTCCAGCTGAGCTGGATAGCTTGCAATCTCTAAAATATCTAATAGTTTTGTGGTAAGAGTTTGCGGATCATTGATGTGTGGGAGGAAGCGAAAAGGATTCAACAGTAGATGAAGCAGTGAAGTATCCTCTGCTGATTCGGATGTCTCCGTTATTTCTGTTAGAAGAATATCCATAACTTCCTTTTGTAAACAAGATACTTTCAAGAAAATTCTGAAACATGTTTGAATTGGAAGAAAACTTCACTGAACTTATGAGTCTTTTACCTGAATAAACTTTCTTGTTCAATTCGTCCTGGTCTATATCTAGAAGGTTCTTTACTATCATTTTTCTCAAGACGTGTCAATAGTAATAATTTGCGAAAATATTTTTCTTTCTTGCAAAGTTGTTTCAATCCTTTAACAAAATCTTCAACACTGTCTTTGGAACCTTCAAAATATTTCTCTAAGTCTCTAACAACAAGAGCTTGTTCTTGGGTTAACTTATGTGTGTCTTCATCCTCCAAAGACAACTTTATACCGAATATTTGTAGTTTATTTTGAAAGTCATTTAGGTGATTTTTGATTTGTTGTGACCGTTGTAAAGACGGGAGGATTTGCGAGGTTAAGATATCACTCTCTGTCTCAGACATAGTGTATACTTGCTTGATATTCCTTTGATTGAATTTTTTCAGTTATTATGTCTGATACCTAGAATTCTGAAGGAATAAATTCTCATTAATGAAATCCTGAAACTTTCCCGGTTTTCTTTGTAATTTGACGTTTGCTTGTTTTTGCGAAAACGAATTCTTCTTCTGTAATAACTATTTTTAGCCTCACAACCAGTGTTATCCGGCCATGACTTTTTCTTAACCTAAGGTAGCAGAACTTTCCAATATTTCCTGATTATTTCTAATCATTTCGGAGTCGTTGCTGACATTAGCTTACTCAGTTGATTTTTCGAAGATTAATATTAGGTTCTCATACCAGTTAGAACTAGGTATTGTGTCCTAGTTTGTGGTCAAAGTCATTCCGCTATAGTTTGGTTAAGAGGCAAAAGGTAAATTTGCAAATTTCTGCGAATGAAATGACTTCAACAAATTCCGTAAAGAAGCTGAAATATTTGAACTTTCTTGCAAATCGGATACTTCATGAAATCACAGAACTTCTGTAATAGGTTTCAACTTTTATTTACAACTTTTTCAAATACATAGTCTCTAGAAACTATCGAAACTTTCCATGAAAAGTTCAGTGTTCGTAGAAATTGAAAAAAATACCAGAAGACAACCATTTACAAGGAAATATAATAATAATGAATGGTCTTTATTCAACATGGCGAAGTGTAGCAGAACGCTATGCTTGAATTCAACTATGTTTAAAAATCATTTCAAAAGAAGACATTAACATTCAATTATTTTTATAGTGGTAAAATAAATATAAAAGTTTATGTTGACTGCTAATAATTGATCAATTTCATTTTGAGGTTGATTTCAACTATATTCATATAAATTCCTCTCCGTTTGAAGAATTGTTGATGGCAGGGCCGAGATTGATACAATAGTTCAATATTACAAAACGAATACCTCCTACTGAAAGGATTTCTGTAATTCTAAGGTAAACAAGTTAAATTATTTTTCCAGTTATGTTTCTAAACTTGCCTACAAACTGTATTCAGACAATATTTGTTATTTATTGTAAACAAAAAAATTACAATTTTGCAGCTGTGTAGTTTTTATTATTTGAAGCAAATGACAACACGAATACCTCCTACTGAAAGGATTTCTGTAATTCTAAGGTAAACAAGTTAAATTATTTTTCCAGTTATGTTTCTAAACTTGCCTACAAACTGTATTCAGACAATATTCGTTATTTATTGTAAACAAAAAAATTACAATTTTGCAGCTGTGTAGTTTTTATTATTTGAAGCAAATGACAACTGTCATGTGCCATATAGGTATGAACGATCAATGCGATGGTTACTTTTTGATGTGCGATTCGCAACAAAAAGAATATTTAGCTTCAGGAAAAAACTCCTAAAGATAATTAGGACATAAAGAATTAATGGTTGCTCAATTGCAACCAGTGCATATTCATTGTTTCTCTCTTCTCTATTTCTTGATACATTAATGAAGGAAAGAAATACCTACACACTAGTTTTACTAATCGAAAATACTATTAGTATACACGAGACAGTTCTTTTAAGCTTCGATTCCCACAGTTCCTTCATCCGATATCCGAATCGTAATCCTATTATCGATGGAGAAGTAGAGAGTCCATATTGTACACGTTTTCTCTTTATTGTATTGTGTTGATGTTTGCCGTCCGAATTACGCGCTGTGCAATTTACGATTATATGTATTGTCCCCGTGATACGAATAATATCGTACATTTGCCTCGCTATATATAGTTAAAGACATTTGAGATATACTTGAATTGAAAAATCCTGAATGCCACAAGAATGGTGATGATTGGATCACCGAAGTCTGAAAAATTTCTTGAAAAATTGGCAAGCAAGCTAATAATGATGAAAAATGAGAAATTGAAATTTCTATGTTTTTACCACTTTTATTTGTCCTATATGGACATTTGCAAACTAATATTGTATTAGTTTGACAAAATCCCATGCTTTTTCGTATGAAGGGTCAGTCTGCAAAATTTCAGACCTCCGATCGGAATCTTGTGGAACAGCCACTAAGTAGTATCTTCTTTAGTAATAGATGAATTGAGACTTGCTGAATTTATTATATTCAAGAAACATTTTATTTTGAGTTTTTCACTAGAGTACGTTATGAATTTCAATCAAGTATAGGCCGATTCCATCACATATCTGAATTTATTGAATTGAGAAGAGAAAAAAAAGGTGGCTGCGTATTGAAGGAATCGCGACTGGTATGAGGGATTGGGGGATATTGAATCGGGAAGTGATGGTAGCGTACCAAAAGGGTTATATCGGTATTTATAAAGGGGATTGCGACGTGTGGGACGCGGATGAATGGAGTGCTAAATTGAGTAAAAAGAAAATAAAATAAAATTATTGCTTGCCAAAAAGGCATTAGCTCAAATCTTTGGTTTTGATGGTCGAATCATGATGGCACGTGGCACATGAAATGAGAGTGGTAAGTCGAATGAAAATGGAAGGTGAGCTGATTGGAGACAAATGTTGTTGCATGTCAAAAGGCACTACGACGATATAATTTTTACCTTGTAATAATAAAAATATTCAATGAGTGCATTGGGGAGCAGGATATCGGATAACGGAACACATGTCACGTAATGTGTTGGAGAGTTCTAGCTGACATTACCAGTGATTTTGAACAGGAAAACTCCAATTGGCTTAGGTGTATGCGCGTCAAGTGTCATAGTTCTGATGTTTGCTAGTAGTACTCGTCTTTAAACGTATCACATGTGATGATTGTCATGTTTGTAGAACATATTTTAATTTATTTTTTTTATGAAAGTGAACATCTGAATTTGAAAGATATTCAACAAATATCATCGAATATTATTGGAGTTTTTTACCAACACCAAACCATTATTTCAACACCAATATTCATTACTACACCAAAGGCCCCAAACAGTGAATCAAAAGTAAATATCATAGAATCAATTTTGGATGAGGTAAATACACGAAAAATCCCCCAATCACGCTTCCCCCACCCAGTACACCTAGGAGTCTATCGTGTGACAATTAATATGCATCGCTGAGTACTAAAACATCGGCAGAAAAATTGAATTATATATTTCTTTCAATCCCAATAAATAAAAAACGTATATGACAGTGCATTTTTATACTAATCAAAACCTTCAAGTTCATATGGTTGCTACTATTGAATTTATTTAACATTTGTTCAACACCTTCAAATATAATTTTTTATCAATTTCCGTCACGTTTGAGATTTCCATTGGGCTATACTATTATTAAAGCTAGATATCATATATTTCGTGATCTATAAAGTAAATCGAATGAAACGAGTACCCACATCAGCCTATTGCACCTCTTATAACGAAAATAGGTTATAAAATCCCATTAGTTCCGGAAAATGATTAATAATATTTCTGAATATCTAGATAATTCCAATGATACCACTTTGAGCAAAATCAGATTACCATTTTTTTGTTTTACAGTTGGCATTTGCTTATTTGACAAACGACAAATTGATATTCGTCTGCAAAGATTAAGTTCTTCAACTCTCTACCTTAGTTTCAACACGACCCGACTATTATTAACGAGCAACAATCTTTGTTTTATCTCTTTTCTCAAATCATCATTCTTCTTATATTCAACTTATCATACATCGCGATCCTACTATTATTAACGAAGTTACGAATTAGTGTTTTTTGGCATGCAACAATCTTTGTAGGTACCGTCTCTTTTTTCAATTCAGCATCCTCTTCCCTTTCATTTGACGTACCATATGTCATTATTTTCCAAATTATTTACGAAGATACAAATTATTTCCTTTATTGCCTTTTTGACATACAACAATTTTCGTTATTTCTTATACCAATAAATTCAGCATCTTTCCCTTCATTTGACGCATCATATGTCACAATTCCACTATTATTAATGGGGATACTAGGGGATACTATGCAGTGCCTTTTAGGCAGGTAACAATCTTTCTTTTTTCTTTAATCGACTCACCTCACCTCCCCTTTCGGGCTATTATCAATTTTTTTCCACTTTAGCATCTGCTCCCCTTTCAGTTGATGTGCTGCAAGCCACGTTCCTGTTATTATCAACGGATATACGACGTAGTGCCTTTTTGACACGCTGAGATATTTGTTTTTTCCTAATTCATTATTCCACCTCCTACACAAATGGTAGATGCTGGTCCCACCCGGCATCGCCCGGTGAGATACCATTGCAACGACATAGACAGCGTGAAGTTGCTTTCGGGCTAACGTTTCGTTGCTGTGCCGCTATTTTCGGTTTCGAAGGTGGGAATATAAGAAAAAATTGCATGATGGCGCTCCGAGGGTCAAAATACTCCGGAGGTAAAACAGCTCCCCAATCGGATCTTCGGGTGGGGGCTGGTTCTACGGTATCATCCAATTTCGAAACAATAATATCACAGAAGATCACAAAATTCATATGTTGCCTTTATCGACATCCAAGCGATACACAATATAGGGCACTTTTCTCTTCACTTGCAAACACCATTGACTTTCTGCAAATCAATCATCCCAGTGCCGAAATTTCCATATTCGGTGACTTCAATGTTCACAATATCGAATGGCTTAAATTTTCAAATATCAACGACGAACAAGGTCGCGAAGCTGACACTTTTGCAATAAGCAGCGGACTTACTCAGAATAAAAATGAGCCAACCAGGATTCCTGACCGCAATGGAGAATATGCTAGTCTCCTAGTTTTATACCTAACAACCAATCCAGAGGTTTACACAGTCACCGTAAGGTATCCATTGGGATCTTCTGACCACAAACTCATTTCAGTGTTGGGCAAATTACCGATAAATGTTGGCGAACAAAGTTTGGTTTTACAGATCTGCTAAGTGGGAGGATCGTCAAGACCATTTCCGAAATTTTCCCTGGCTAGATGTTTGCTTCAGCTGTAATCCATCGACTTGTGCTTCTGAAGTCGCGGAAGTTATTCTATCCTCCATTCGTGCATATATTCCTTCAGTGTAACGAACTTCTAACGGCAAACCTTGGTTCAACAAAAATTGTGAGCAAGCTGTCTGTAGCCTCCAAAAATCTCGCCTACCGGCAGTGGCGCAAAAATCCCCGAACTAGGTTTGTAAATGCTCGAAGCAGCTGCAAATTCAGAATAAATGAAAGCAAAGAACTTCA